CGCTTGAAAGTGTCATGGTAGCAATTGGATCATTACCTGAAGAATGTCCAAGCATATATTGCCATGTAGATCAACATTTGGATGGAAGCAGGTTGTCTCAAACTTGACTTTAGGAGGTTTAAATGGGTAGTCATTTGGGAAGGAAAGTGACAGCTTGTACTCTGTTCCTTCGAACACAGTATCTTTGCTTCCTGTATGGTTCCTTTCCAGAAGAATATGTTGTCCTCCTCAGGGAAAGCAGAGATACCACTTTCTCCATTCATCTGTAATTCCAGTCACACAACAAGAATTATTAGGGTAATTTCCAAATCATAAACAAAATTTCTATTTCCCTCTTAATTGGGCTTTAATCCCAATTCCCACATGTTATGTATCCTCACTGAAAAGTAATAAATTTGCTTGCACAGCCCTCCATGTATCCAGCAGGTTTGCTATTTATAAGACCTAACTTGTCAATCTCTGACATCTAAAGCTAAATACACTGAAGAGTCTATGGAGTAAATAACAGTTAACAAACTTCACGAATAAAGAGACCTTAGAGAGAAATCTTACCATCAAAGCCATCAATTCAGACTGCAACCTGTTTGATATAACCAATAACCACAAACAGAAAGGCATGATCAGAAACAAAAACGAAGTCGAACATAAACTGCTCCAAAATCCTCTAACAGAATTATATGCGTGTGTAAAGTATAATCAAGCAAAATTCCGAGAATACTCAAGCTTAAAAAAAGTGAAGAAAAGAGCGAATGAAAAAGAAACCTTCTGAGAACAGACTGAGAATCAACGCTCTTTGCTGCATGAAGAGGCTGCTTAGAAGGTGTGATGTTGCCTGGAGCAGTTTCAGTTTGACCGTTAACAGTAGCCATAATAATGACAATTACGATCCTCAGTTGCAACCCAAATTCGATAGAATCGAAGAACAAAGAGCAGATCACAGAGAATACAGATAGAGCTTATGACGCAGGAGGAAGAGATAGAGAACCAGAAAGAGAGAGAATGCGTATGTGTGTTTCTCTATCTTCGTCCTTCGCGAAAGCAACTGAGAGCGAAAGCGAAATCAGAACTGAAAGGGATCGCATGGTGGTGGAAGAAAGGTAGATTTAAAACGTTGTGCCTCCCCTGAAAACGACGTCGTTGGGAGGTTGACGTTTGTTTCCTTTTTAGGGCATGGAGCACTTGAGCGAGGGGTGAATTTCGAGATTCAAATAATTTGAACGTTGAGTTCTCCTCTTTTTTCTTTTTGGAACGTTGAGAGGCGCAAGAGATTCTTATTCTTGTGGCCCACCTGCAACGGCTAGTAGGAACGGCGACTGTAAACGCTCCTTTTCTTCGTTTTTGTTCCCCCCCCCCCCAAATTTTTTTAATCCATAAAATGGTCCTTTTAGTTTTTTTTTAGTTAGTTTCTTTTTTCTTTTCTTTTTCTAAATATTTTATAACAAATTTAAATGTTTGTGCCCACCAAATTTCAATTTTAATTGATGATTATTAAGTATTAAGTCAACTAAGAATATAATCTAAATTCGAAATCGAATTATGTCTCATAAGATATGGTTCTGTAGAAATTCTTTGGTAGGATAAAAAAATGAATAGAGTTAAATAAAAGGGAGAAAATTGTGATTTTAGCATTGTTTTAGGAGAAATCCGTGCAACGTCGTATTGGATTGAATAAAATTAATAAAACTGACAAAATTACAAATTAGAAGTCCATAGCTACCTTCACAAAAGTATAAATTGGTCCTTTTTTTTTGATTTTTGACCAGATAGATAAAGGTACTTCATTAAAGAACAACAAAGATAAATACAAAGCCCAACAAGTACAACTGCACTAAAGACAGCCCAAACACAAAGGGAAACCAAACAAGCTCTAGACAAAACCTAACCTTACAAAGAAGAGAGGGAGCCGCCACCGTTACCAAGAATTCAGTCACCATCGACCATTCACTAGAAGCAGTAGGGAAAGAAGTGCCATTACCAACACCAACACAAAGCCATTATAAGGGGTGGGGGTTCGAAGAACCATCCAAAGGACCCATCCCCTCTTCTTGGCAAACAACCCAACTGGTTGAACAACCTCCATGAGAAAACATCATAGGAGTAAAAGCACCCACAGCCACCAAAAAAATAGACGAAGGATGAGAAGGTGTTCTCGCCGACAGTTGCTGAGCGAACAAAATTGACGGAACAAAGACGTGCCCTTCGAATTCGCATCCACGAACAAACCACAATGATTCTCTGAAAGATGAAGCCATCAATGTGTAGGACCGTAGTATCAAATCCCAGCCCCAAAAATACAAACGAAGTCGCCATGAGAGGTCTGCCGTCAATGAAGCCCTCAGATCTTAAAAAGCGCTAAAACCAGACAAACCACCGATAAAAGCCTAAAAAGACATACAAAGAAACTAAGGATAACACAGAAAAACGGTCATCTCCTCCCCCAATCGAGCCGGGGGAGGAGATACCGTGAAGAAAGCTCCTCCGCTTGACGAGGGAAGAAAACTCTCACCACCCTTGCATTTCGAGAGAGGGAGAGAGAAAGTGGGCTTTGTATAAAATTTGGTCCTTAACTTTATTAAATCTTAATATTATTGATAAGTAATGGTTTTAAAAATGATGCTATTTATTTTTATAGATTCTTTGAAACACACTCGATTAGTTGAAAATAGAGTTAAAATCATATATATATATATATATTATACGGTGTGTTGTCTCTTTTTTTTTTTTTAAACAAAATGTCAATTTTATTCAAACGCGAATAAAAAGTTACCTAAAAAAGCCACTCAGATTAATCTGAGGAAGGCCTAAATGAATTAAAAAAAAAAAAGAGTGACCGAACGAAACAGAAATAAAAAAGTAGAACGTACCAACGGCAAACATTGCATTGGTGATGACTAGAAAGTAGCAAGAAGCTAATACTATTCCAGTTCTAATTATAAGATCCTATTTGTACACTATAAATGAGGTCTTATAATTATGACCGGAGGTAGTATAAACTTGTATAAAATTCATAACAAAATATAAAAGTAAACAAGAAAAAAATTAAGAGAGAATTACCATGAGATCTCAAAAAGAAAAATAATTAAAAATAAATTCCAAAGATTATCGTTTTCTACTATAAAACTTGTTATTACATACTATTTAGATTATTATTGAAATTTTTTAGTAATTATTTTTCTTTCTAATTCTCCCAAAAATCAAAGCCCTATTGGTGATGATTAGGACAAAAATGACGTGGGCCATGATCTTGCATATGAGTCTAATGCTGATTGTACGTTAATGATGACATGGCAGTTAATGTGAGTGGCGATGGGGTCACTGACTCGAGATCATGATGACATGGCGCCATGATGTGTTAGCTGAGTAGGCATTTATTTCAGAGTAACAGGTATTATTTAAATGTGTTCCTTATACTACATCAACAAAATTTACTATATCCTCTAGTTCATAATATAAAATATTGGTTAGGAGAAAATCATAGTCCAAAATATAAGATGTTGTTAGGATAATTAATGTGATTTTCTAACTTTTGGTCCTATTAAATATAAAAGAGAGAGGAAAGAGATGAGAGATAATAAAAGTGTAACATCAAAGGCATTTTTATCTTTTTTTTAGGGGTTAAACAGAAAAACTATCATTTTAGGACAAATTTAATAAATAAATTTTTATTTTTTAATATGTGAGAAAAATTAACTAACTACTTATATTATGAACCGGAGGAAGTAGTTGTACTACTCAGAGTTACAGCCAATGTGGGCATGCGGCTTCCAACTTCAAGCACTAAGCAACACCGTAAACCCAAAGTCTGGTTCATAACGGTTAATTGTTGATCTTGTTCCCCGTTCAGTACTCAAATAGCCGCAATATTCGTACTAAAATAAATAATACTACCTTCGGTCCTAATTATAAGAGCCAGTTGACTAATTTGAGGAGATTAAAGAAGTAAGTTGAATTAGTTATTTGTCCTAAATAGATATTGTTTTTCCTAAAATATCTTATTAATCAAGTGTATTGACTAGAACTATTATTGTTAGAAGGGCTACTTTGAAAAAAAAAAGTATAAATATAAGAGATAAAATGGATTGTGATCTTATATTTAGAACCAAAATAAAAATTAAATAAGATATTATATTAAGGACTAGAAATAGTAACAAGGAAAGTCGTTTTCGTGGTACAATCAGTAACCTCACCTACAAAGTACCGGACGTATTAGTTATAACTTGTATACAAAGTGACTTCATACTTTTCACCCAAAAAAAAAAAAAAAGTGACTTCATACTTTTTTTTTCCTTTTTTATATTGATAGCTAGTTAGTATCAACAAACCTGCAAGGCAATCATTATGATATATAAAATTAAAATCAATTATCTTTATTTAGTTCCTATTTAAAAAATCATTTCGATACTACTATGGATGCACACGAGAAACATTTCTACTTTTTATTTCCTGTTTACCCCATGTAACATAACACCCAGACAAATCTTTCCCACCTCCTTTTGTAGGTAAAGTATTTTTTCTGAAAGAAAAAAAAATTCAAACTTGCATATTACATTATTAGATAAAAATAAAAATCTAAAAGTTGATACATTCATGGTCTTGCTAGACATACTCCTCATTAGGTCCTACTAGGTCATACTTATCGCAATCCTCATATCACAATATGTCCTCTCAAACATGAGATTAAAAAGATTTTGTAGTCTTTTCTGCCAGACAGATTTTGTAATGTACGAACAAAACTAAAGATGTGAATTAAAACACGGTTATGATTACTAATATCTGAAGGAGAAATGTACAGGCAAAACTAAAGATGTGAATTAAAACACGGTTATGATTATTAATATCTGAAGGAGAAATGTAAAGGCAAAACTAAAGATGTGAACTAAAACACGGTTATGATTATTATTAATATCTGAAGAGAAATGTACAGGCAAAACTAAAGATGTGAACTAAAACACGGTTATGATTATTATTAATATCTGAAGGAGAAATGTACAAACAAAACTAAAGATGTGAACTAAAACACGGTTATGATTATTAATATCTAAAGGAGATTTCACGATTAAAAGTTGAGAAACTTCTTCTCTTTCAAGCTTTCCACTATCTCTCTAAGAGATATGTCTAATGGAATAAACTCAATTCCCAAGGTTTTAGTCTTTTCTTGAGAAACTTGATACTTGGGCATCAATGGCTCATCCATGACAAACCTACAAGTTCATTGAGCAGCAAAGAAAATAAATTAGCAAAAATCAGGAAAAAACCTTGAATCAAAATATATAATTTGGGTATAAAGAAGTGCATGTAGAAGCCATTTTGGTCTCATAAAAAATGACTGAATGATTAAATCACAAGCCAATCTCATCAATCCTGAGGAACAGATGTCCATTATCAGCAAATTTAAATATATTGTCTCTCATTCATCCTCTAATGCCAACCCCACCTAGGAGATAAGGCTGTTGCTTCTACTGCTGCTACTCTGTGTGCGCGCGCGCGTGTGTGTGTGTTTTTTTTTTTGAAATAATTTTTGTCAAAATGTGTCTATGTGCATGCGCGCGGGTGGGTGGGGAGTAAAACTTGCAGATTCTCCTCTAGTCCAAGGAGAAGGGCATGGTCAGCACACGAGATGCAGTACATATCTGTGAAGCAAAAACTAGATTTTACAATATCAAGTTTTTCAGGTCCCTCCTCATCAACGGAAGAAGGAAAAAATGGAAGCTGACACAAAACCATTTTTTGATCCAAGTCACCACTTACTGTCAATTGTGTTCAGAAGCCTTTCATCTGTATTCTTGCCGATCCTACTCAGATGTCTTCCAGAACTTGGCAGGAGAATTTTTATCTTTGCTACATGGTATTGTCATTATCATCTCTTCTTAGGCTCTTTTGCAAATCTATTTGTACTTTATCTTACTGTAATTTGTAAAACTTTCGTTTTCTTAATATCATTTTGTCTTACCCCCCAAAAAAAGAAAGCTAAAGGAAAGAAATCAACAAAGTACTAATTGAAGGCAATGAGTACAAGTATTAACACCAGTGTTGTGACTTGGTGGATATTCTATCACATGCTAAATGCATAATGATATATACATGAACAAACAAAGAGTGGGCTTAATTTTTGATGCATCTAAAGACGTCAATACGAAAGAAAATTCCAGGTTGTTTGTGAAGAAACTCAGAGATTAATTCCCTCACTCTCTCTTCTGTTTGTCATCATCATCATCATTTGTTATTGTTGTTGTTGTTATTACTACTTCTTTCTTTCCTCTAGGGTGCGAATTGTCCCACCCCTTGTAAATATGTATCACTTCCGTTCAGAGTTGAATAAAGAAAATCTCAGCATTAATCTTTAGATTTAGCTTAGTCATTACAAATATCAAAACGACCTGGTGCCAAGGTGTTCATCTCTTAAAGCCAATTGCTTGGAGCAATGGGCATTATCCCTTCAGGCAGAAGGAAAAAAAAACATTTTATGCATATTGCTGTAGCAGGCAGCAATTCATAAGTAGTCTCATATAATCATATAATTGAGATGACAAGATGTGAAGTCAAAAGTTATATTGGCTTATGGAATTATGGAAACAGATAACTTACTTTTCTGGAAGTGGTAATGTTGGGTACAATTCGTGTGAAATCTTTACAATCTCTGAGAAGTGTGCCACAGTCTCAACCAAACAATATCTTCCACTAGCTGAAGGAATCTCAAATGCTAGAATATGAGCACTTGCAACGTCTCTCACGTTGACCCATCCTACAGTTAAATTCGGAGATGTTTGTGCACCTGCACCAAAAAAGCAACACAGTAATGTTTGTGTAGGAACCAAATCAAGAGGATATTCAAAAGGGATCCCAGTCAACCAGGAGTTGCTGAAACAATAATAAATTAAATCAATATTCAATCGGATAATCAGATTTATTAATGAAGAAATTTATTGACAATATGACATTAAATATTAAAGCAAGAAAATAATGCTTAGGTTAGACTATGGCTTGTTTTTTCATGACTTCCATCTGCTAAGCAGAAAATGGGAATTCAAGTAGTCTTCTTGACATTTTGTTTCTAGAATGAAATTTTTCGAATAGTATTAGCTTATATTTCTTCTTTATTTTGTTGGAGCATACAAGTGGGTTGGCTGATCCCGAAACTGCAAAACCTTCATGCAGTTATTGCACACAAAGGGAGAGAACAATTATTGCAAGTCAACAGCAACAGTTAGACCCAAATTTTCCTTTCAACTATCAAAAGCGAGACAAAAAATTTCATTTGAACATATGCTGACAAATTCCATACCAGGACTTCCATACAGTATGAACCTTGTGCGCACAAAAAATTACCAGTTAATAGCTTTAAAACTGTAGCAGAAGAGTCGTTAAGTGATGGTTGCAAAAGTGATCCCAGTACGTATGCTGGGTGGATAACAACCATGTCAATGTTGTTTTCTTTTACGAATTTCCAGGCAGCATCTTCAGCTAATGTCTTGGAAAGCGCATACCAGAGCTGAAATAGCAAAAGGAAATTGTCCAGGGCATACAAGATTAAGACTATGGTGTTTTTTTCATTTAAATATTTTTATCATATAAAACTATTGAAGCAGTTTTGACAAGCTTAAGGTGAAATCTCTGCATTGCTGCAATAAAATGATTTGACTTCTGTCATAAATGCAATAACGTGTAGCCTTTATGCAGAATGGAGTTCTATGGAAACATTGGAAACTTGAAATCCCAGCTCATCAGCATTCGTTACAATCAGATAAGCCATGATTATTAATGAAAACCTTTGTTTCAGGGATGGTCTAAGAAACATGGCACATACCTTAATCTCCCTGCAAAATTCTGGCTTTGAAAACCATGTCTCATCAACTACGACTTCAGGAGTTCTAGGTTGTCCATTACATAACACTGCAGCCATGGAAGATGTTAAAACAACTCGTTTCAGAGATGGCAATTTTGCACATGATTTAAGAAGATTAAGAGTTCCCTTGACGGCTGGGTCAATAAGTTCAGTCTGCAATAAGGAGAGCAACAGTTAGGGACTAGGAAATAAGACAGCTGTTTCGTATGAAGACAAAATGGAAACTTAAATCGTTGACAAACTTGTGATTTATTTAAACTCATGGAAAGCCTTCATATTCAAAGCAAACTCAAATCAAACTTAGTCATGGTTCTCTATTTACGTTGTTATTTTGCTAATCTCCCAAATTTGCCTGGTTGTAAATTGGAAACAATAAATTGCAAGACTAAGTCTAACTTTATAAGAGTATGATCGGTCCCTCAACAAATACTTCCAGATCAGACCACCTTCGGCTATATAAATAACAGATTTACACATAAAGATGAAACTTTAAGCTAAAATACATTACTTCAGATGCAACACACTACACCGTTACAAAGAACATTACACAAAACCCACTCTGATACAGATACAAATGACGCTGTAAAGGAAGGAAAATTATTACACTTTCAGATTCAAGCACAAAGGATGACAAAGAGCAAAGATACAAACCGCACATAATGAACTATATATAATCTCAACAGAACAGAAACTCTTGAGCATAGAACATAACAGGTTTGCCAATAATTCAAGAGGAATGGTTCTCCCCACTCCAATCCCCATGCCCGACTTAAAGTTCTTCTCCCCCCTTTCACCCCCTCGAACTCCTCTCTTTATACACCCACTCCCAACTTTCTGACTGCTCCCTTACCTTTTTCGTCATGACTGCCTATCTCTACTCCCCTAATTTTCTGTCTCATCTGGTTCTTACTCCTTGTATTTTCTTCTAGACCAGCAGTTCCTCCTTTTCGGCCTTTTTGCCATTCGTATGTCTCCTTCTGTGAGCTTTGGCGGCAATAGGTGATGGGGTCTTATCAGAGTATCAAGCGAACTAATATGATTTCATCAAACAGGTAATGCAATATGCTTAGGGACAGGGCAAACAAAGGTCCAACCCAATACGTCTCTCACCATTCTCTTTGACCCTCTAAGCTACACAAAGATGAAAACATTGGTCAAACAGATTTTTTAAAAAACATTGCTCAAACAGATTAAAGCGCTTAATAAGAGTGCTTTTCTGCAGGTCAACCACAGTCAACTATCTATCAATTTTAGAATGATATGAACCTGTGGGTCTTTAACATCAGTACGGCAGGGAGAGGCAGTGTGAAAGACACCCTCACATCCCTCAACAGCGGGGTCAAAGGAACCTTCTTCCAAGAGATCTGCTTTAAACAGGTGCAATCTCTCCTTGGCTCCATCAAGATTGAGCAGATGATCTACCTTCTTGGAGTCATCTGCAGCGAGTTAGAGAACACCACAAATTGATTACTAACCAAACTGAATCACAATTCTGATCAAAGCATGGATATAAATGAAAGCATACGAAGGAGCACTAACTAGGGTCGCGAACAGTGGCCTTGACAGTGTAACCACGAAGAAGAAGAAGCTTGACGAGCCATGAAGCAATGTAACCAGAAGAACCAGTGACGCACACGACCTTTCCGTTTCCGGCGTTGCTGCTCATTCTCTTTCTTTCTTCTTCAATTTCATCCCTTTCACTGCTTCGTCTTTGCTCTGTACCAGATCGTTTGAGTCTTTTAGATTCTTCGAGTGATTATTGGCTCCACTGTCCGTCATTAGGCGCTTGCTTGCAGCTACATTCATCTTTATTTTAATGTTTCGAGCAAGCGATCGACGTTTGAATCCGCAATAAATTATCATTTTCCTGGCGAACGAAGACTTTCTAAGGTCTTGATAACATACAAACATATATATATATATACGCGCGCGCATATATTTAAACCAAGATTCTCTTTCTTTTTGTCGGTTTCGGCGAGTAACAAATTACGTACTACCTCCTGTGTTAATTATAAAACCCAGTCTACTAATTTGAAAAGATTAAGAAATTTAGTTAAGTTAGTTATTTGTAATAAATAATATTATTTTTTTTAAAATATTTTTACTAGTCAAGTTTGTTATCTATAACTACTATTATTAGAAGGATTATCATAAAAAAAGTAGATAAATATAAGAGACAAAGTAGATTGAGGTTTTATATTTAAGACTAAAATAAAAGTCAAATAAGGTCTTATAATAAGGAGCAAAGCTAGTATGATTTATCTTTGATGCGAACTGAACTTTATGGTCTCAGATCAACCGCAGGCTGGATTATGCCATCTCCCATCGTACCTGCCTACGTGTACTTTATTTTTGTAAAATTACCAAATTGAAAATTAGCAAATGTTCAATTTGGTAATTTTTTTCTCTTAATTAAATTTTTAATTTTGTTCTATTAACAGTGTTAAGCTCTGCATAAACATTAAAAATACTAATAGAACAAAGTTACAAAAGCGAACATGACTAAAAAATAAAATTAAATAATTTAATTAAGAGAAAAAAACATATAGGTATCAAATTAAAAAATGAGAGAAAGTATAAGTACATCCACAATCCAATATGATTTTTTTCTTAAAAAAATAATTAAATTAATTATTTATAATAAATTAGTGTTGTTTTCTCTAAAATAAAATATTTTTATTAATCATTTGTATTACTATGAAAATCTTTTAACATCTATAATTATTTTAAAATAAATAAATAAAATATAAAAAATAACATAGATTAAAATTAAATTAAATTTTCAACTAACTAATCACAAACTAATTACTCATATGATCCTAAATATAAGATCTATTTTATAGTGTAATTTATATTATAAAATGAGTTTTATATTTAAAACCGAAAGAAATACAACGAGAGACGAGGTGAGATTGCTTAGAACAAATATGCCCACTTTTTTTTTTTTTGGCGGGGACAGAAACCAAATATGCTTCTTCTTGTCTTCTTTTTTTTTTTTTTTTGTGTTTTTGGACTGAGACCAAATGTGCCCATTCGAAGTCAAAAAATAGGTTCACACACGCACAACACCAACGTTTCCATCTTTTTTTGTCATCTTAACTTTTTTGAAAATTTTGATGCATCTTAATCCTTCTTCTAGGATACAAAGAACTGCAAATTAAAAGGAGGATTAAAATTGATTTAAGTCAATAAAAATGTAAAATAAATAAAATTTATTTCTTAAGAAAAACAGCTTTAATTGTTGCTGTAAAACTAACCAATAATTAGAGGGAAAAAAATAATATTAAAAATTTCAACTTTTTTTGATGAACTAGAAATCTAAGAAGATTAAGAAATTGGTTAAAATTCATCTAAATCAATAAATATGTAAAAAAAAATAAAACTTATTTTCTAAAAATAACATTAATTAATGCAGGGAGAATAAACAGTAATTAATGAGAAAAAAAAATGATACTCCCTCTGATCTTAAGTGTAAGACCCATTACAAAATAAGTGTTATATTTAGGACTGAAGGAGTAGTTAAAATTTCAAATAGATATTGATATTCTTTATAAATAAAAACATGCCATTCCTAAAAAAAAATCACTTTTTTATGTAGAAGCGAATGAAGTTCAACTAGATGGAAAATGCCTTGGACTACAATTGCATTTCTCTACTTATTGTCCATTTGAAATAGCTTATAAATAGTTTTTTTAATTGTGATTTAGGGATATGAGGTAAGTACATGAGAAAAATTTTGTTTCGACTTATGTTAAATGTGCTTATAAGTGCTACCAAATAAGCATTTATTGTTCTCAAATACATTATAAAATAGGTTTTATATTTAGAATTAGAGGGGTACTAAAATTTTCAGATGCATATTGATATTCTTTATAAATAAAACATGTCATTCCTTAAAAAAAAAATCACTTTTTTATGTAGAAGTGATTGAAGTTCAACCAAACTGAAAATGCCTTGGATTACAATAACCTTCACCTTTTTATGTTCATTTGGAATGACTTACAAAAGAAACTTTAATTATAATTTACGGAATACGAGATAAGTACATAAGAGGAGATTTGTCTCAATTTATGTGAAATATGTTTATAAATGCTCCAAACAACCACTTGTTCTCAAGTTTCCTCACTTTTTCCTTTGAAGAGGGATCTTTGTTAGTATTTATCTTATGCACTTAAATCTATAATACACTCTTTGCTTCGAGATTTTTTAGGCATTCTATATTTTTGCAGGGAAGCTTTACTTAATTTTGCTACTATCTATATGTTTCCTAAATTTCTGATGAAACTTAAGGAAGCCCTGAGTATGCAACATTCTAATTTTCATTTTTTTTTAAGACTTAGGGAACTAATTCTATCAATATTAAGGATGACTTGGCTCTAGGATTAAGTTATGTTTTGGGTAGACTTTTTTTTTAAGGCACAAGTATCCTCCTATTGGAAGTAATCTTGTTTAAGACACTGTCAGTTGCTACATATAGGCATCTCTTCCAGCGGAGATCTAAATATTGGTTTACCATATTGTAAAGTAGACTTTTCTATATGCTCAAATGACATTTCCTTCCTTACTTTCTTCATTTTTTTCTATTTTATAAGTATAATAAGAGCGAGATGCACTAGTCTCCTCAATTATCATTTGAGATCAACTGTCAAAAGCTCCGGAAGAAAGGTTCCAAGACGGCATGAAGACTTAGACCTAAGATCTAACATTCTAATTTCTACTGAAATTTGATTTTAAATATAAGATCTGTCTCTTATATTTATTATTTTTTTCTAAATTAATTTACCTAACTTATAAATTAATGTATAATCTAATGTCACATGGGACTATTTTAGAAGAGATCATATCAAATTTGTTATGATTAACTAATTTATTTAATATTTTTTAATTCACCTAAATTAGTTAAGTAACTAATAATAGCAACGTTTATCCGTCAAATTATAGTAAAAAAAATTGATCCATTCAATGTCACGTGCAAAACACAAGGAAGAATTATAGTTTTATTACAATCCTTGTATCACAATTATGTCCCGCAAATATGGTTTAACTTATTGCAAAACATACAAACATGTTTGGAAACACGCATGGTTTGACAGACGCAATCCTTTGATAGCTAAACACGACCGAAGTCTAGCATAATAAAAATGATTATGATTGCCAATATAATATTTGCAAGAGATAACATGATTAAAAGTTCAGAAGGTTCTTCTCTTTCAAGCTTTCCACAATCTCCTTAAGGGACACGTCTAATGGAATGAACTCAATTTCTAAAGTCTCTGCCTTTTCTTTGGAAACCTCAAATTTGGCAATGGCTCATCCATAACAAACCTAGCAAGTTCATTGAGTAATCAAGAAAATAAATCAGAAAAAATAGGGGAAAGAAACTTGAACCAAAATATATAACCTGGATTATATCATTATATAAATACTGAATGCACAAGCCATTCGGCTCATGAACTATGACTGAAGGATTAAAATCAGAAGCCATTATCATTAATCCTAAGGAACAAATGATCATTATCAGCAAATTTCAATAAACCCCTTATTCTCCATCCAAGAAAAGATAATAAAATCCCTCATTCATCCAGTAAGAAAAAAATTGAGATCGAGTGAATTTATACTAGATTCTCCTCCAGTCTAAATAGAAGAGTATGGTCAGCATAAATGATGTAGAACATGACTGTGAAACGAAAAGCACATTTTATAGTCTCATGTTTTTTAGGTCCAGTTTCATCAAAAGGAGATGAAAGAAATGGAAATGGACACACACCCTTCTTTTGAAGACTAAAGGAAAGGAATCAACATGGAAAAATGAAAGAAAAGGAACCTGAAAATTACTAAATCCCAAATCAGATTTGTTTTCTACACTTTAACATGTTTTGACTATACTTGACTTTGTAAATAACAGTACATTTTTTTATAGGAATTCTTGATTTGGGATTATGTAATTTCCAAGTTCTTTTTTTGTCCTTTCCCCAATCAACAAAGTACCGATTGAAGGCAATGAGTACAACCATTAACACCAGTATTGTGACTTGGTCTAAGATGCCAACATGAAAGAAATACATGAATATGTATCACTTGCGTTCAGGCTTGAATAGATAGAGAAAATCTCAACAATAATCTTCAGATTAGGCTTAGTCTTTACAAATATCAAAACGACTTGGTGCCATGGTGTTCATCTCTTAAGGCCAGTTGCTTGAAGCAATGGGCGTTATCTCTTCAAGCAGAAGAAACGAGAACATTTTATGCATATTGCTATAGCAGGGAGGAACTCCAAAGTAGTCTCATATAATCATATAATGGGGATGTAAAGTCAAAAGTTATATTGGCTTATGGAAGTATAGGAACAATTGACTTACTTTTCTAACTTTGGGTACAATGCATGCGACATTTTTACAATGTCTCAGAAGTGAGCCACAGTCCAGCCAAACAATATCTTCCATTAGCTGAAGAAATCTCAAACGCTTGAATATGAGCATTTGCAACATCTTTGACATTAGTCCATCCTACAGCTAAATTTGGAGATGTATGTGCACCTGCAACAAAAATTAAAGCGACACAGTAATATTTGTGCAGGAGCCAAATCAAGAGGATATTCAACCGGAATTCCAATTAACCAAGAATTCCAATATGGAAAGACTTATCACAGAAGAAATTGATGTATTCATGTTTTAATTTATTTTGGCAAGTGGATGGAGCAAATCGGAATAATTTATTATATTTTAGCAAGAGGTGGATTAAGCAAGGGAATTATTTTATTGTATTTTTGTAAATTGTTATTGTAAGCTGATTTGCAAGCTGTTGAGCTTTCTTAATGTGAAACAAAGCTCCTTGTATAAATAGCTTAATAGCTTCCACTTGTAATTATGCTTGGATGAATAATATTATTTTGAAGCCTTGTAATCTCTCTCCCTCCTCCCTCTGTTTCTCTCTCATTTCCCATCAAGTTCTGTTCTGTTTCCTTCGCCCCTCCTCTGCATCTATTTCTCTTTCCACTAAACCAGCTTAGTTTGCATGAGAATAAGTGTGTGTGAGTGTGTCTTGCATCAATCATAGTAGAAAAATTTGAGAGAACCAAACCCTAAAACACTACCTTATTTGGTTTGAGAACTGTCAATTCCCCATAAACAGCTCATCAGAATAGCATAGTCTCTAAGGTTGCCCAGTCTTTAAGGTTGCCCTTGAACTGAAAACTCCTATAAACAACTCAGGAATCTTTTATTATGTATTTGTAATTGGGAAGGAGGGAGGGGGAGAGAATCAGAGAGAGAACAATTATTGTAAGTCAATAACAGCATTTTGACCCAAATTTCCCTTTAAATTATCAAAAGCCAGACAAAGCATTACATTTGAAGAAGATCAAGTAATGAAGATGCTGACAAATTACATATCAGGATTTCCATATAGCATGAACCTTGTGAACATAAAAAAGTACCAGTTAATAACCCTAAAATCAGAGCAGAAGATTCGTTAAGTGATGGTTGCAAGAGTGATCCTAGTACGAATCCAGGGTGGATGACAACCATGTCAATGTTGTTTTCTTTTACAAATTTCCGGGCAGCATCTTCAGCCAATGTCTTGGAAAGTGCATACCATTGCTGAAATAACAAAAGGAAATTGAAGATGATTGTGAAATAATAAGCATGGAAAACATCGTATTTGCATACATTTGAAATTGGAAAATTACATTAGCGTAATCAGCATACAAGGTTAAGACTAAAGAGGTTTTTAAAAATTTTTTTTTTTTAATACTGGGGAAGGGAATACATAGATGTTGTCCTATGAAAAAGGAGTGGGTTCATTGGACTAAATAAAAAAGGAAAGGAAGAAGGTGAGTCAGTACTCACCCTCAAATCTACTCACCCTCAAATCAGCCCTTCCTATGAGTTATTTTCTAAATCCGAATGAATAAATAATTGTAGAAAGTAAACTCTTAATAGGATTCAAAAAAGCAAGCACAGCAAAAGTAAGTTCATAGAAAAAGATGTGTTTGATTTGTAATTTTGGGATTAAACAAAAAATATATGTTTGTTAATGAAAAACTTTGTTTCAGTAGTAGCCTAAGAAATACGGCATATACCTTAAACTCCCTGCAAAATTCTGGCTTTGAAAACCATGCCTCATCAACTACGACTTCAGGAGTTGTAGGTTGTCCATTACATAGCATTGCAGCCATGGAAGATGTTAAGACAACTCGTTTCAGAGATGGTAATTTTGCACATGACTTTAGAAGATTAAGAGTTCCATTGGTAGTTGGGTCAATGAGTTCAGCGTGCAGTGAGAAGAACAATTGTGAGAGACTACTCTGCTTGTTGGCAGAGAGATTTTTTTTTTTTTTGCCCAGTCACCTCATTAAATTTGTTATATGAATATACAATTTTGCTCCTAATTCATTATTCTATAAACTATTATTTTCTTGGAAAATACATACCACTATGTTTTTATTTATAAGTCACTTGTACCCCAAGTCCGTGAACTAAGAAATGCATTAAATTGATAATTTTTTCACCTTTTGCCCTTATTAAACGAAGGGTAGTAAAAAGATATTTTTACATTTTCTCTAACCTATTTAAGTTAATAGGGATAAAATTAAAAAAACTCAACAATTATGCTATAAGTGACTTATATTTATAGACAAATTTTTCTGTGTAAGTAACTTGTAAATAGGAATAGAGTGGTACTGCCATTTGTCCTGTCTCTTAGCATAGTCTTTGACCACAAAAGATGACAACATTGTTGAAATGATTGTTTAAACAGTTTAAAACGTTTGAAAAAGAGTGCTTTGTTGCAGGTCAACCACTATCAACTATGTATCAATTTTAGAATGATATGAAGCTGTGGGTCCTTGGGATTTAAGATGCAGGGAGAGGCAGCGTGAAATACACCCTCACAACCCTCCACAGCAAGGTCAAAGGAACCTCCTTCTAAAAGATCTGCTTTAAACAGTTTCAGTCTCTCCTTTGCTCCTTCAGGGTCACGCACCAAATCTAAGAAACAAAAGTTTACAGAATGGTTTATAAGAAACAAAAGGAAAAGGGGGAAAAAAACAAGAACTGATTCATCCTAATGAAATGGAACCTGGGATCTAACTAAGCACCAAATCTAACACACATATGCTCAGATTCATCTCCATACTCCGGTGTTGGGGGGACATATATAAGGACTTTCATATATTATAATCAAAATAGTGTTTATTTTGAAAGCCACAAGGATATGATCAGAACTTTACTCTTAACTAACAGTCACGACTTTCATGACAGAAGGCATAAGATTTCTTTCAAAGGACTCTTTCATTCTTCTAAGGCTTAAGGTGTAAATTTAACCATAAAGTATTCCCCTATGTACATGTAACATCATAAAATTTTTTTAGGGCACAACAATACACTTGAATGTTCTCAAATGAAGCAAAAATGTCATATCTATTATCTATAACTAACATTTGTTACTTTAGTGTGGTGTGGCCCACTTGGTGTCTAGGCATCATAAAGTAACGGATGCTAACTATACCAAACATCCGTTACTTTATGATGCTTCTATGCGACATGGGTCCTACCACACTAAAGTAATGGATATTAGGTATAAGTAATGGATATGACATTTTTACTCCATTTGAAAACATTCATGTGTACCTTACACTTAAAAAAGCTTTATGGTGCTAGATGCATGGGGAGAATACTTCATTGGTTTGTATAACTTCACCCTTCTTTTAATTGTCATTTGACTTATTGGCCATTATATGATCTGCTAGAGGCCAAATAAAAACCATGTAGAGATATATGTCCATGAGTGAAACATCAAGCCTCTCTTGTTACTCCATTCTCATCGCCAAACTACCCTCAGACTACTGTCCTAGTGTCCTACAACATACCAAAAACTTCTATAGCTATATGCTTGTAGATATAGTACTATATCAACTTCAAAATGTAATAGAATATCTACTTGGAAAAAAAATCTGTTTTTTTTCGCTTTTCATAATCTCATTTACAGGGGATTTATCGTGTGTTCTTCTCAAGACAACATGAGTACTGATTTATTCAAGCTGATGTACAAACCAAACTGAACCACAACTGTGATCAAAGCATGAAGAAGAAAAGCGGAAGCAAATTAGGAAACACTCACTAGGATCCCGAACAGTGGCCTTAACAGTGTAACCAAGATGAAGAAGAAGCTTGACGAGCCATGAAGCAATGAGGCAAACCACCTTCCCATTTCCGGTGTCGCTGGTCATTCTCTTTCCTTCTTCTTTTTCTTCTTCAATTTTCTCCCTGTAGTTTTTGCTCTGTACCTGATCGTTTGACATAAATAGATTCTTCGAGTGATCTTGGCTTTACTGTTCATGATTGCGCTCTTGCTCGCACTTACATATATAGGCCACGATTCTCTCTCTTCATGTCGCTTAAACGAATCACACACTTTTTCTGTGATAAACATATATGGACCACAATTTTCTCTCTTCATGTCACTTCCAGGCGAGTAAACGAATCACACATGCTTTCTGTGATACGAACTGGTTGAGTTAACTTCATTCAAATTTGTGTCAGAGTCAACACAAGACGTGATTACGCTACAGTCAACAGCTGAGCTCCCTGACAAAGGAGATGAAGGGTCAAGCGATTAGAAAAGTAGCTTATTGAAAAAATAGTTTATAGAAAAGTGAAATTGGATAAAAGCTAAATTTGGATTAGAGTTCAGAAAAGCTAGATTGTAAAAGTGAGATTGGTAAAAGGTTGTTTGGATTATGATTGAGTAAAAGTAAGTTTGGTTGTAAAATGACCAAAATAGATATGAGTTTTAATAAATAATAAAACATGATTAAAAAAATAATTTCACATAATACAATGAAATTAAAATAATTTAATATGAAGAAGTCATAAAAAATAGTTTAAATATAAAGTGAAACATGAAAAAATAAAAGTATATTTTTAGGAGCATATTTAAAAATAAAAATATATTTCTAACTTATTCATTATTTTCAACTAATTTTAACTGATTTTTTATTATCTACAAATTAGTTATTTGAGGCTTATAATAAGAACCAAAAGAGATAATAAATTTCTTAACTTTTTCTCTCTCCATATTTCAAAAGCTATAAGCCATAAGCTATAAGTCATAAACTGTTAATTTTAGCTTATAGCTTATTGTAGCTTTTCAGACAAAAGCCCGATTGTAGAAAAGCTGATCCAAACAGACCCAATTGTGTCAATCGAGCTTATAGAGCTTATAAGCTACTTATAAGCTCAAAATAAGTGATGTCAAACAGGCACAAAGTCGCTTTGAACGCCAATAGTGCCAACCTGAGCAATTTTTTAACACATCGACATTGACAATGGGACCAACCAAATTCCAACCATGTGGCTGCTGTGAGATTTCCAATGGCTTATTATAAAAATATAAAATAATAAATATGTAAGAGAAATTTTATCTCGTGAATATACTTAGGGCTCATTTTGAATGACATGAGTAATTTATAAAAATCATGATTTAAAAAATATAAAATAAATATGTAAGATGGGTTTTACCTCAATTTAAATAGACGTGCTTATTGATAATTCCAAATGGGACGTTCTACTTTTTGTAGTGGTGATGTTTATAGAATATGAAATAAATATGTAACATGAATTTTATCTTGAATTGAATAGGTGCTTTGGAATCTAATTACGAACTCAAACAGTTTCAATAGTTGCGTTATCTTAGATGTAAAAATGAAAAGATCTTTTAGTATCAATATATGAAAAAAAATATTAAACAATTGTGATAATTTCCATTTTCCATATAATTGTTATTAAACAGATAATAAGTTGGTCTCAAAAATATGTTTTCTTCTTCCCTACCAAACCCTTCTGTTTTTCAAACGAATGTTACGTCATGCCCTTTTTTATCTGGTCAACTTTAATAAAATATCACTTGCGTGTGATTTTTTCCATTTCATGACGATGTCCAGAATTTTATATGAAACTTGAACATCTCAACTTTAATTATCTGTAGCCAATAATTAAGATTCAAATTCTAATGAAAAAGGTTAAAATACAAATAACATCAGATAATTAAAGAAAGCAAAACATAAAAATCTTGTGACCAAAATCATGTCTAAACATCAAATGATGAAATTTGCATTTTCTTGAAGTACTTCAAGCATAAAGAGATGCAAGAAAGGAGTTGGTTCACACTACTGCAATATAAGATCCAATTTTCTCAAATTCTGTCTCTCTACTTTACACAGTAAAGTGTTTCATTATTAGCCAAAGTTGTCCCAATATCGGTCTTATGTGCCCAAATTCAACTTTTTCCCAACTAGGTCCTAACTACATGACTTGTATCACAATTCTGTCTTCTCAAGCGCAGCATTATTAGGCATATTACAAAGCATATGCAGTTTATAAGACCAGAGGAGATATCATGATTTACAGGTTGAGAAACTTCTTCTCTTTCAAACTTTCTACAGTCTCTTTAACAGACACGTCCAGTGGAATAAACTCAATTCCCAAGGTCATTGCCTTTTCTTTGGAAACCTGAAACTGTGGTACCAACGGCTCACCTTCAACAAGCCTAAGTTAATGAAACAAAAAATTAAATTAAAATATATTACCTAGATATGAAAAAAGAAAAAAAAGTGAATATGCCAGACATGTGTGATCAAATATGATCCAAGGATTATAATCACAAGCCATTATTATCAATTCTAAGGAGCAGGAGATCATCATCAAACAGCTCAAAAGAAATCTCTCATTAATCCCCTAAGTAGAGACATCATACTGAGTGAATCTGTCTACTGGTGTCTCTTTTAGCCCACAAACTGAAGGGTATAATCGGCCTAAAAGGTAGAGAACATATTTGGTGAGTGAAAAATTCGTATTACAAGTTACTATCTGTTGGAGATCAAGATATATCTGAGATACTCCTCCAATTCTTAATATAAGACCTATTTAACTAATTTGATTAGATTAGGAAAATTAAGTAAGTTAGTTAATTATAAAAAATGTGACACGTTTTTCCTAAAACACCATAATTATCTTTCTTAGTGTCATTTACAAGTTACGATCCAAAGCATACATTTCAGGTCATGCTCATTTTGCATAAAGAAGATGAAAGTACTCCATCCGGTTCATAATATAAGATATTAGTTAGAAAAAAATTGTGGTTCAAGATATAAAATGTTGTCAAGATAATTAAAGGGATTTTTTCACTTTCACTCCTCTTAAATATAGGAGAGGAGGAGAGAGATGAGAGATGATAAAAGTGTAACATTAAAGGCAACTTTTCATTTTTAGGGGTAAAATAGGGAAACTTTATCATTTTAGGACACATTTAATGACTAAACTTCCATTTCTTGATATGTGAGAAAAGTTAACCAACTTTTTATATTATGAATCGGAGGGAGTAATGGAAACTGATATCAATCTTTTTTTCTTTTTTTCTTTTTTTTTGGCCATGGCAGCTAGCAGTTCATCAATTGTCTTCAGAAGAAGTGAATGGGATTTGCTAGACACGCATAAGGGTTCAGCAAATGGAGGCCTGAACCCCCATGTCATATTGCATTCAAGAAATTATGGAAATAGTTGACTTACTTTTCTGTAAGTGGTAATGCTGGGAATAGCTCATGAGTGATCTTCACAATGTCTGAAAAGTGAGCTACGCTCTCGGCCAGACAATATCTTCCACTAGCTGAAGAAATCTCAAATGCTTGAATATGAGCATTCACAACATCTTTCACATGGATCCATCCTACACAAGCATTCGAAAGCATTTGTGCACCTGCATCTAACAAACAGTGATAAAATGGCCGTGAAGTGGAAGAAAGAAGAATGTTAGACTATAATTTAATTTTCTGACAGATGAAACAGTAGTTCTGAAATAGCATCTCATGTGCTCCATGTGCTAAAATGGAAAAAGGAATTTGAACTAATAATATCCTTTACACAGAATGAAATTTTAGATTAGTATTAGTTAATAGTTAGAGTACATAAGCCCCATATTGGTTCTTTCTCAAGCTACATAATCTTTAGTTCTTCACGCAGTTATGAATACATGTAACACCAGCCTTCCTCTATCAAGACTTTCCAATGCATTTTCTCCTTGTTTTCTTTTCCCCCTTTACTGAGGATCTGTTCTTATGATTCTATGATGCACTTGTTTAGAATGGAATGTCAAAATCTTAATTTTCTCTATAGCACCTGAAATTACTATGGGATAGTGTTGTGTTTATAGCTTCTATTCGATTACCTATACATGACCGTTTCAAGGGATTCCCCGTCTAAGTCATTTTGGTTCTGTAATTTCATTTTCTTACCATAATCATTAGAATAATTTATCCTCTCCCATCTTGTGATTTGAATTCGATGCAAGTCCACTTTGTTCTTTTTGGTTTTTAATCCTCATACGAACCTCGCAAGTCAACAGTCTATTAACTATCCCAAAGTATCTGTCACTAACTCTCCTATCAATTGACCAGAGCCAGCAAGCATTTCAATTGAAAAGATCACGTAACTAGGACGCAGACAAGTCAACAGGACTTCTGTACAGCATGAACCCTGTGAGTATCCAAAAATTACCATTTAATAGAGTTAAAATTATAGCAGAAGTTTGGTTTAATGATGGTTGCAAGAGTGGCCCTAGCACTACTCCTGGGTTGATAACAACCATGTCAATATTGTTTTCTCTTACGAATTTCCAGGCAGCATCTTCAGCCAAAGTTTTGGAGAGTTCATACGATGTCCAGAGCTGAAAAACCAGAACATGAAACAAGAAGGAAGTTGAAGTTCATTATAAAGTACTGAGATGAACCAGACCAAATGAGGCAAACTGCTGAAACATTCACTACAATCAACATAGGCCATTTGTGTTTTAATGATATGCATACCTCAGATGCTTTACAAAATTCTTCTTTCGAAAACCACGTCTCATCAACTACAACATCAGGAGCTATGGGCTTTCCACTATATAAAACTGCAGCCATGGAAGACGTTAGAATAACTCGTTTCAGCGATGTTGATTTTGCACAAGATTTAAGAACATTCAGAGTCCCCTTGACTGCTGGGTCAATGAGTTCAATCTGAAATGACGCAAGCAACAATTAGAAGCTAGTAAATAAGGCTGCTTTTCTTCTTAAGATAAAAAATAGTAATTCAAATCATTGTCAAAAAATTCATGAAGAGCCTTTGCATTCAACTCAAACTTTGACCGGTAATAAAAATTCACATATGACCTATCAGAGATCATATAATGAAAAAATACTAACCAAAATGATCATAGCAAAAATAACGAGTGAATGCTAACAAAAACCAACCAGTATTGATGGTTTTTGTCCCTGACAAACAAATTTCAGAGAAAACGTTAAAGTTTGTTGCCTGGAATTTATCACTTTCTTTGTATGTGAACGTGATGAGCATAAGCTTAAAAAGAGAGTTCATCCCAAAAGACTAGCCTATTAGGAGGGAGAGCCTTTTGAATTTATAAACCCCACAACACTTGTGAGAGTCCCCAATGTGAGACTCATAACAGTAAAATGCATTTGAGATTCCAAATGACACTTTGCCAATATAATAGCCCATAAATAGTCAAACAAGGTGATTAAAATGAGGATAACAGGTAGAAGCCTATGCTACAGCAAGTTCACGGATTCTGAAACACGTTGATCCAGCTAAGACAAAGGTGAAATGCACTTGTTGCAGTGATGTTTCTCTTCAATCTTTTGATCTGTTAACCTCGCATATCATGGTTGAAGGATCCCTGAGCTATAGTTATCTATTTTTAAACTGCGTAATTTTCTCAAATCTCCCAGAATTTGCCCCAAGAGGACTAATTTGAGTGCTTTGATTTTAAATAGTTGCATAAGAGATTGTTGAAAATCACTGAAGCATTGAAAAATAGTGCTCCCTGCACCCAGAACACGTTCTGTTCTCAGTCATCTATCAAATATAGAATGAAATGAACCTGTGGGTCGTTGACATTGAAATTACAAGGAGAAGCAGTATGGAAGACACCCTCGCAGCCCTCAACAGCAGAGTCAAAGGAACTCTCTTCCAACAGATCTGCTTTAAAAAGCTGTAATCTCTCCTTTGCTCCTTCAAGTTTAAGCAAGTGATCAACCTTCTTGGGGTCATCTGAAGGGAGTTACAGAACATCACAGATTGATCACCCAAAATCGTTCAGGCCAAAAAGATTACTCAAAACTGAACAGAGATAGCAAATAAGAAACAATACTGTCTAAAGTGGATTGGTGGTTCATAAATGTTTATGCAATGAAAAAATTGCTGGGAATCAAAATCAGGAAATGGGTGCCCAGAAAATCCTAACCAAAATCAAACACAGTTTTGATCAAATACATGGAGAGAAATGGAAGCAGATTCAGGAGCACTCACTAGGATCACGAACAGTGGCCCTGACAGTGTAACCACGAAGAAGAAGAAGCTTGACGAGCCACGAAGCAATGTAACCAGAAGCACCAGTGACGCACACCGCCTTTCCGTTTCCGGCGTTGCTGCTCATTCTCTCTCTTTCTTCCTCAATTTTATCCCTTGCACCGCTTCGTGTTTGCTACCAGATCGTTTGACGCTTTTAGATTCTTCGAGTGATTCTCTTGGCTTCGCTGTTCGTCATTACGCCCTTGCTTACAGCTACATTGATCTTCCTTTTTATTTTCTTTTTTCATTTTCAAATGTTTCGAGCGCATGTGATCAACGTGGGAATCCATAATAAATTATCATTTGCTTAGCCAATGAAGACATCTGAAATCGTGATAATACATAAACCAATATTTTGTTTCTCCCTTGTCGTTTTCGGTGAGCAAAAAAATCACAAATGATTTTCTCTGATGTGAAAGACTTGATTATAGTTATCTATATATTGTCAACAACTGTTCGGGGAGGCAATCTCTTGTGCGGCTAATTCACGGCTCGGACACTATTTACTGTTCGATTAAAAAACTATCAGCCTCGGGCTTTGTGTTGGCTCATGCTTTCCTTTTTCCTGTTCCAAGGCATTCTATGGCCTCTCTGCTCTTCTCTCTCGGTACCCTGTTCCATGCTCTCTTGTTCTTTCCCTCTCTTTCTCCCCCTCTTTCTACTTCTTGTAAATATAACATCTATAATCTCTTACAGGTCGCAGCCGGTGAGATTTCGGCCAGTTTGGAATGGGTTATTACAAAATACTAAGATAGCTTTTCAGTTGTTGTTTACAGAATAGGAGGGGAGTACACCAGATAAGCTTTGTCTAGGCTTTCATGAACCTACTTAGTGATCGTTAATCCAAACAAACCTGGTAAGTGATTCTAACCATGATTCCGAACAGGTTTTCTACATTTTGAAATGGTGGTACAATTTTATGTCATAATCTATTAATATATAAAAATAGAGTACAAGCCACGAGTCGCTGACAGCAAGACACGTGAGATCAGATCACCTGTAAATATATGAATAGTTTTTATTTTTTATTTTGATTATTTTTTAAAAGTCACGTTTCCATGTTTCTACCCATGTTTCCCATGTTCCTCCATATAACTCACCTGTAGTGTCAAGTAAATGTGTTTTATTTTTCTATTTTTTATAAAAACCAAAATTCCCTGCACGTCCCTATGTATAACTCACCCAATATCCGATATATGAGCTTGTAATTCTAATTCCTTTCATGTCATCACAAATCATGGATTCATGGCGCATATATCATATGGAAGTAATTATTTTAAATTTTTGTAAAAGCCATGTTTCTACTCATTTCCCCCTATTCATACATTTACATTTCTACCCATGTTATCCTATTCATGTGTTTTTTTTTTTTGGGCAAATTATTTAAGGAAAAAAAGATACTTATAAAATTTAAAATTTAAAACATGATATTTGATGGTTGGTTTCAAAATAAGAGTTGGTTGCAAGTCAACATGTGAATTTTGATCACTAGAACACGTTTCAAATCTTATGGCTTTATTATGGGTAGTTTTTTTTTTAATTCCAATTAAGAACTATTTCAGGTTTGAAATTAAATTCAATAATCTCAAAAAAAAAGATCTTAATATTTCAAATTTTAAATTAAAATTAATAGTTCATAAAAAGTGGTTCTTCATCCCCCAATTAAATCATTTTGAATTTACAAATATATTTATAAAATTTTAAAAAATAATTGAATAGACTTATATGGCCATGTTGTTACGTTTTTGGGAGAAATTTTTTGAGGTTGGTTAGTTTTTTAGATTTCAAATCAATATTTCATATTTTAAATTCAAATTAATATAAATCTTTAAAGTGAAAATGAAGTTTTTCAGCATTCAGCTTCATCAACATTCAATAATCTTCTATAGCATGTCACTTGGCGGGCTGTAATCTTAGATAAATAGAAAATTTCTTAATTAGAAAAATAAAATAAGAAAAATGAAAATAAGACCAATTCCTGCTTTTATTTCATATTTTGAGGCTTTGTTTTCGTAGACTTTTTTTAATTGAAAGTGAAAATTGGGAGGAAATTTCTAATGTTGTGAGTTTTGATCATTGCACCCAAATTGCTTCGTATTCAAAATTTCTAATTTCAAATTAATGTTTCATATTTTAAATAAAATTTAATTAATAATTCAGATTTTAAATTTAAATTAATATTTTAATTTTTCAATTAAAATTAACATTTCACAAACAATGGCTATTGTTTGGATTAACTAACTGATTAAAATAAAATTTCAACAGCTGTTATTCATGAGTACACCTCAACCAGACCTTCCCACTTTGCAAACTTTTTGGTTTTCAAATTTTGTATTTGGCAATTATATTGTACTAGTTTCCACTTTGTTGCAAGGTTTGCAGCAATAAGCCTTTTCTATAGTACTAGCCCATGGTCATAGGTGTAAAAACCCTTTACCTTAAAAACGTTAGAACTCATCACAAAGTCACTACTATGGTAGAAAAGGAAAAACTGTTAAATGAACTACCATAGTAGGAAGAAATTTGCATAATTTTGAATTCACATTTAAACCGTTGCATGCAACTGAAATCATTTATTTACATCTACTGGGCCTCCAAGCCTCCGGCCCGGGTAATAACAAACATCACATTAGCCCATCTAAATGATTCCCAACCAAATAATCCAGAGTTCATAAAACACTAGCAATGGCCTCCGGCCAACCAAAATAAGGAGATACATTCTCTCCGGTTTACAACAAGGCCGGGTACTCAAATATATCAAAAAGTAGTCCTAACTGTGGCAATATATACTAGTCATACATGTACAAATGCTAGAGGCCTAAAGCTAACCAAGCTCAAGCCTCTGCGTCTCTTTCCGATGGCCCACGCCCGGAACCTTCACCTGAAAACATTGTAAACCACGGGGTGAGACAAAGTCTCAGTAACCAACCTTTCCAATACTAGGTACTACTAAATAGGTGCTCATGAGGTGTCAAGTGGGGCAGTTCACAAGTAATATAATAACAAGATAGCCACAATAAATCATGCGAGTGAAATGATGCAAATCCCATTAACCAAATCCCTCACTTTGGGGGATTTTCAGGAGCCGAAGCCGGCCTATCCCTCACTATGGGGGACGTAAGGAGCCATAAAAGGCCTATCCCTCACTCTAGGGGACGTAGGGAGCCAAAAGGCCTATCCCTCACTATGGGGGACGTACTAAGCCAACCATCATGCATTAATGGAGGCCTTACCACGTGTCAGTAACAGACAAAACTCTCACCAATTCCCAATTAATGCATCATGCTCAAATCATAATCACAGAGTAATAATCATTTCACAATTAACCTCATTCAGTGGCATATCTTTCACAATTCCAAAATTCATTCATCATTAGTCGAAGCCCCACAAGACGGTTTTCCTTTTTATACACAACATACAGTTTAAACATAATTACTACTTAGAGCACAAAACATAAATCTACTCACAAAACCACAGAAGCAAGTACTAAGGATTGGAAAGTGGTTACCTCTCGCCTGAGCAAGGAATAACAAACCAACGATGTGGCCCCGTGCACCACCAAACTCACAACCGGTCTACACAAGCACACAAACACACAACCATCATATATTAGCTTTCAACTAATAATGTGGCCAAAAACAACACTTGGGGACACAAAATTCCTATCTCCCATCAAAACTCTACCCAACTCAAAGGGTATAACTATCAAGGCAACACTCCAAGGTCATACCAATCCATTAAAACCTTAATTCTTTTTCAAACATCAATTAAAATTCAAACCTCAAGGACCCACTATAGGAATTCAACCTCCAACATCCCATTTGAGCAATTAAGGTTCCAACAACAAATCTAAACTGATTAAACATCCAATTTAACCCTCCTTAACATAACCCAATTCACAAAACTCAAAATCAATCTCTACATTATCATCCTCAATCCCAAATCATCTATCTCCATAAACCCTAACTCCAAAAATTCAAGATTCTTTAAATCCAAGGAAACTACACCGATTAAATACTTAAACTAACCCCAAGCAATCAATTAAACTCAAAACAATCGGTCAAAAACCTCAATTCCATCACAACTTAGAAAATCCTAGGGTTCCACCAAAAATCCTCAGAAATTCCAAAAAATTCCAAGAAAGAAAGAAGATTAGAGGTTAAAATCACTTACTTGAGGTAATGGATCCTTAGAAATGCCCCCTCCAAGCCAAAAGTTCAAAATCCTAGCAGAGCTCCTCTCTCCTCCTTCAGATTTTCTTATTTTCGCACGCTGAACCCTCCCGCGACTATATAGATTCGCGACCTTTCGCCGCGGCGAACTAATCCCGAGAGGGATTATTCACCTGAAAACCCGACTTCGCCGTGACGAACTCCAATCTTCGCCGCGGCGAAAGCTTCCCGAGAGGAAACTCTCGCTTGCCCAGAAAAACTTCGCCGCGGCATGCCCTTACCTTCGCCGCGGCGAAACCTTCCCGAAAGGGAAGCCTCATTCACCTGAACAACTTCGCCGCGGCGTCCCCAAGACTTCGCCGCGGCCAAACCTTCCCGAGAAGACACTCCCCTCTGAAACTCCCGGTGCGCCGCGGCGAACATACCCTGAGAGGGGTACGTTCACCTATTCCTCTAACAAATCTCAAATTCAACCCAAACACCAAAATCAAGATTAAATCACTAATCTATCCTCAAAATCAACCCAAAAGAGGCTATTAAAACCCGATAAGACTTAGGATGTTACAATAGGTGTGGGTTCACTGAGGGTTACAGTTAGTGGGGTTGATTGTGCGTGTGATTTTGTGGCTATATATACGTGTGGTGGCTATAAGCAGCCGATTTAAGGCAATTTTTTTGGGCAATTCGTTCAGTCTCCACTTCTCCAATTTTATGTAGTCAACAATGAACGAACCAAATTTTCATTCCATTGATTTGGATAGAAACATGGAAACGTGGCTTTTAAAAAATAATCAAAATAAAAAATAAAGACCATTTATCTATGACCAAATTTTCATTCAAATGATTTGGGTAAAGAAGATTTATCTTGAGTTTGAAGGAGGAAATCTCTTCTCATTTTGAAATCCCGGTATGCGCTTTTCTTTTCCCT